TTTTTTTTTTTCCCCCCCCCCCCCCCCCCCCCCCTCTCCCAAGAGGCTATGAGAGAGGTACTGTTGCTAACTATCTTCACTCGACAAATAGACACCTGTATACACGCTCCTGGAAACGCCCGGTTCTTCTGGCCTCCAGTCGAAGTCATTCCTAACAGAGGATCCAGCACTGGTGATCCTCTATGCTCAGTTAAGACAGAAAACACTACAGACGCTTCGCGGGGCTTCCAAAGTCACACCTAAGGTTGAGTGGGAATTTGTGCTGCACAATGCTCGACTGTATAGCCGCATGGGATGTGACCTACTCGGTCTTGATCTCGGTATGTCTAATATCAACGGCTCCGATCGTGATTTGTGTCCTGAAGAACAAGTGCTAACGTCAAAAAGTCCGAAATTGGGAATTCCTCAAACCAGCACCCGTCGCATCGACCAAACTTGGTGGCGAGATCAACCCCCTTACAATGCTCAAACGCAGAAGTTCTTTGGTGGTGGCGGATATGCCAGTCCCTCCGCATGTCTCGTCACCGATGGTTGAAAAAGCGATATCGTTACAGGTGCCGGCGGAAATGAAGTCGGGACACGGAACACCGTCGATGCCTCATAAGCCCAAGCCGCCGCCGACGGTGTTTGAGGAGCCTGATGCGAACTCGCTGTTGGATAGCTTTGGGTTTTAAAGTGAATACCGTAATGAACGGGGCCCATGTGTATATTCAGGTTGTTGGAGCATACGTTCGTTGTACCTGGGAATGGTAGCTATTTCAGGGCCGGTGTCATGAAAACAAGTATATGAATTCAACACCAACAGGTAACCCTAACCCTGTGGGGATATAATATCCCATTATCAATGCTACCCGAAAGATAAAAAGAGTCAACATCCAACTAGGCCAATGTAAGCATTATGAAGTGCGGGGTTGTATATCTTGTAACCTGCTGTGGTTTATGACTGACGCGATATGATAAGTAATTGGTGAACCGCAAATTGTATGGACATAATTCAATGGCTTGCTTGGATGTACCGGATCCATTGATTTGTCAGGCAGTGTTTCACGGTCACCTGTCAGTGCATTGATTATTCGAGCCTGCCTGAATTGACTTGACTTTATTCCCTTTCTTCCTCACAAACAACAACACGCGACTGCGGCAACTCGGCCGCTCGCTTATTTGTTCACAAACACAATCAACGGCCATCTTTTTGCACTCACTTTCTCCACCTGATAGCCTCTACCATCGATATTTACTGGGCTCTTAACGGGCCAAACCACTACTTCGGCAATGGCGCAACGGTCGCGCACGGCGGGGACGACGGCGGACCCTCGCGACCCGCTACTGCCGCCTCCGTCCCCCGCTCCAGGTCCGGCTTCAGGTCCGGCCGCACCACCATCCACCTCCTCCGAGCCCACAGACACCAATACCGATCTCCCCCTCACGCCATCCTCCTCCTCTCCCTCCTCCTCTTCTTCTTCTTCTCCTTCTTCTTCGTCAGACTCCTCCCTCCACCCACACTCCCCACCCCGCCCCCTCATCGAGGGCAAATCCTTCACTGCCCGGGGCGTCCTCGTCGGCCTGGGCGTCGGCCTCATCATCTGTTTCTCCAACATGTACTTTGGCTTACAGACGGGATGGGTCAGCATCATGAGCATGCCGGCCTCTTTGATGGGGTTTGGTGTTTTTCGGCTTTTGACGCAACGTCTCAAGTTCCCGTTTAGTCCGGTGGAGAACGTGCTGGTGCAGACGGTGGCCGGGTCGATGGCCATTATGCCGCTGGGGTGCGGGTTTGTCGGGGTGATACCGGCGATGCAGTTCTTGCTGAGGGACGACGAAGGCGGGGGGCCAGGACTGGATTTGGGATTGGGGAAACTGGTGGTTTGGGGGTTGGGATTGTGCTACTTTGGCGTGGTGTTTGGGGTCCCCCTCAGGAGGCAGGTGATTATTCGCGAGCAACTCAAGTTCCCTAGTGGGTTTAGTACGGCCGTGTTGATATCGGTGTTGCATGGCAAGACGAGGCAGAAGGCGAGCGAGAGCGAGAGGCATGAGGATCCGGCGACTTTTGCGAGTCTGGCGGCACAGGAGGAGTCGGGCAGTGCTGTTGTCTCGGGGTTGGGTGACAACAACGGCAACCACAGCAACGTGGAGGGAGAAGAGGGGGGAGAAGCTCCGGCGGAACCTCACTCGGCTTCTTGGAAACGGAATCTCAACCTTTTGCTGGTCTGCTTCCTTGTCTCGGGCATCTTTACTTTGTCGACGTACTTCATCCCGGCGCTCAGGTCGATTCCCATATTCGGCAGTTATCTCGCCACGACGTGGTTGTGGACGCTGAATCCCAGCTTGGCATATGTCGGGCAGGGCATCATCATGGGTCCCGCCACGACGCTGCACATGCTTTTGGGGGCGGTGCTCGGATGGGGCGTACTCTCGCCGCTGGCGAAGAATCGGGGCTGGGCGCCGGGCGATGTGGATGACTGGGAGAAGGGGAGTAAAGGGTGGATCGTGTGGGTGAGCTTGGCCATCATGCTGGCTGATTCCGTCGTCAGTTTGGGATGGCTGGCTGGGCGGTCGGTGGTGAGAGTTCAGGGTGTGAGGAAAGCGGTTGGATGGGCATCGATTCAGGGACGGAGCATTGTTCAAAAAGCGAAGGAAACTTTGGGCTGGGCCGATAAGACGAGGAGACCGGTGGCGAGATCAGGTTATAGGGCCATCAACACCAATGAGGCGGCGAGGGGAGGATTGACGAGACCAAGACTGGGGAGACGACTCTCCGATATCAGCGAGGCTTCGAACTCCGAAGATGATGAGGATGCGTACACCCACCTCAACAGCGGGTTGAGACAACGACACTCTTCAGGGTTGAACCGCATTCAGGAGGATCTCGGAGAGGAAAAGGAGGATGAATTTGACGACGCTCCGCCTGACCAGCAAGTCGGCGACAAGACCGTCGCCGTTGGGCTGGTGCTTTCAATCATCTTCTGCATCGGCTGCATCCACTTAGTGTTTGGCAACCTCGTCCCTCTCTACGCTACTGTCACGGCCGTGTTCATGGCTCTGGTGTTGAGCATCATGGGCGTCCGCGCGTTGGGCGAGACTGATTTAAACCCGGTGTCTGGCATCAGCAAGTTGGCACAGCTATTCTTTGCGTTCATCATCCCCCAGTCCAACAAGAACAGCGTGTTGATCAACCTAGTTGCTGGAGCTGTGTCTGAAGCTGTGCGTATACATCTTTCTCCCTGCTTTTTTTTTCCCTTTCTGATGACTAATAAATACCTGACAGGGCGCCCTCCAAGCCGGCGACCTAATGCAAGACCTCAAAACGGGCCACCTCCTCGGCGCCGCCCCCAAGGCCCAGTTCTACGGACAAGTGATCGGCGCCACCGTTGGTGCCATCGTCAGCGCCTTCATCTACAAGCTCTACACGGTCGTTTACACCATCCCGGGTCCCCTCTTCCAGGTTCCTACGGGATATGTGTGGATCTTCACCGCTCGTTTAGTCACTGGCGAAGGGTTACCACCCATGGCTAAGGAATGGGCTATCGGCTCTGCTGCGCTGTTTGCTGTCACCACTGCTGCGAGAATTATTATTGTTGACAAGGTTGGTGCTGATAAAGGAAAGAGGTGGCAGGCATTGATCCCGGGCGGGATTGCAGTGGCAGTGGGTATGTATAATGTGCCCAGTTTTACGATTGCTAGGACGATTGGGGGGTTGCTTGGGTGGTGGTGGAAGGGGGTGATGGGGTGGCAGGATACGCCTTTGATTGTTTTGGCTTCGGTAAGTTTTCCTTGCTCTCTCGCTTTGGTGTCAGCATGAGGTGGGTTGCTAACACCTTTTGCTTATCTTTTCTTTCCAGGGCTTCATTCTCGGTGAAGGTTTCCTGAGTATCGTGAACTTGATCATGCAGAGTGCTGGTGTTCCTCATCTTTAAGTTGTTGGGAGGGAGACAAGGTTGATTTTGGTCATTAGCATTAGGTTCGCGGAAATGGGGAGCAAAGAGTATTATGGTATGATGGTCTTTATAGCTTGCACGGGGCGTCGGTACGTTCGGTTTCCTCGTTGTAGTTGGCAAAGCGTATTAGCATGACAGTTTGCTGTCCTTTTTGCGTTTGATCCGTACCTGACTGGCCGTTAAGGAAGCACTGCCTATACCCCTTGTGATGGTATCTAGTTGTATCGAAGTTTTTTTTTTGTATATGACAATCACTTCTATGCAACGTTTCATATTTCTCTCTGGTCTCCTTACACCAATGTACAATCTCTCCTTTGCTTCCTTCCTCCCTTACCCCCCCTCTCCCTCCCTCCCTCTCCCTCTCAGAAAAGCCAAAAACCACCACCCGTGCATGCCTTCTCTATAGCCACCAAGACAGGGCCACAGCACGTTTATGCTCTTTCTCCATTTCGCTCTCTCTCCCTCCCTCTCTCTCCTTCTTGTGGATGTTATGTGCGATCGTGGGTGGTACTAAGTAAGACAAAGAAGAACAAAAAGAACAAAAAAAAAAAAAAAAAAAAAAAAAAAAAACATGTCCATGGATTGCAAATGTGTAGTGTGTGATGTGATGTGTGTGTGTGTGTGTGTGTGTGTGTGTGTGTGTGTGTGTGTGTGTGTGTGTGTGTGTGTGTGTGTGTGTTTTTCTCGAGGCAAAAATAGAGAAAAAGAAAAGAGCAAAACAATAAACAATTCAATATAAAGCCCTTATGCCACCGTCCTTATGTTCCCACCTTCCCCTAACCCCAACCAGCTCCCACTCGCTTTTGCTACTTTATTCCACAGCCAAGCAAGATGGCAGAACCAAAACCAAGAAAGACATAATTATTACCAGCATCTTTCTGTCCCTTCCCCGCGCTAGACCACCACAAACCACAACGCAAAATTACAACTTATACAGTTACTACAAGTTTCTTGACACAGTTCAGGCCATACAGAAAGTGCCGTATATGCTGCCTCTAGTGCGGTCTGCCTGGTCTGATGATCTATGGAACCCTGAAATCCGGAGTGGGCGGTCCAAGCATGCTGGCCACTTGCTTCCTGATTAGCCCTCTTACCCGGCCCTGTTCAGGTCTGGGAACCCCTTGTATTGCCCTTGGTTCCTTCATCAAAGTGGGATCCAGCCTGGCCGGCACACGCGTGACAATGGATCTGTAGTTGTCTCCGTCGTTGAACTTGGTCGACGAGGGCACCGGTACCGAGGCGGTCCGCCAGATATGGTCCGTCGTGTCGTTCAGGTACCCCGGATTTTTATTTTGTCTCGCTGCACTCGCGCTGCTCGGCCCAAAAGCGGAGACGCCGTGGGAGGCGCGGATGGTGGAGAGACGGGACAACCCTTGGGAAAAGACGGGACGACCGCGGGCCTTCTTGGCCAGGATGACTTCATCAAATAGTCGAATGGCGGGGTCGGCCGGGGGTATTCTCTCGCGTTCGTGAACAAATTCGTTGAACGCTACAAATTGCTTAGTTTGTGTGACTTGCGCAAGATTAAAGAAAAAAAAAAGGCGGGGGAAATGAGCCAGAACATACCTTGAGTATCCCTCAGCATGGTCGCATAATCCTGTTGATCGTAGGGCAGACTCCTGATGAACCCATCCATATCAAAGGCATAATGCTGACCATTAGCCTTCTGTTCCTTGGTAGGTCGTCCAAGGTGCTTTCTATAAGTGTAAAGCAAGCTTGCCATACAACGGACAAATGCGGCCCTAACGCGATCCGGATGGAAAGCTGCCGGGCAAACCAACGAGGCAAACCCAAGACAATGGTTATGGGCAAGACAGTTGCAGCCACTGCACTTGTAGAGGCCGTTGCCCTCCGACCGATCATCGCAAATAGTGCAGATGGAGTCTTGTTCGCTGGGGGTCCAGTTGAAGCAGTGACCCTCAACCCAGACTGTGTTTTCCGTGTTCTTGACAGGCTGGACCATCATGTTGGGCATGATGGTAGACGCGGCAATAGTTGACTGCGCGTAAGTTGAGGGGGCATATGCGCCAAAAGAGGATTGCGAATCAATCGAGATGGACGATATCGAGAGGTTCTGAGCGTGCCCGATCAAGAAAGGCAGACTGGGCCTGTGAAGTGGTGGGTGAGGTGGTCCATTCTTATCCATCCCAAAAGACGAACTACGTCTGGACTTTTCATCGAAGTGTCCCGAGCGCTTTTCTCTCAAGGTTGTCGCAACAGCGAAACCAGAGTCACTGCGCGACACGGGTGTGGTGGGCGCGGGGGGAAAGTGCATCGAGACAGGCGATATAGACGAGGGCGGGCTCCCTTTTCCTGACTTTGAGGTTGTGGGACGGCCATGCCCGGAGTCTGGTCTCGCCTGCGAGAACGCGTTGAACAGGGGAGTGCGCATACTGTTTGGCGGATCTGGTTCGGCAAACGTGGATGAGTTCTGTGTCACCCATTTACCCAGAGTGCTCGCCTTTGCTGACGGGTTGAAAAGCGCCTCATTTTCTGCGGAGAACGCATCATAGGGGAAAGCCTCGATCGCATAAGGCGGCGGGCCGGTTGCCACACCGTACCTCAGCTTGTGAGGAGCTGCGATTTGTAGCAGAGACATGAGCTTCCGCCTGTGTTGGCGCGGGAGCGGGACGGCCTGTGCCGTGGCATCGATGATGTCTTTGTCAAGATCCACAAGCACATAGTCGTCGTCGGGTAGTTGGATATTCTCGTACCGCCGCTCAATGCCGACAATGTAGGGGCACGGGGCCTCGAGGGCTGAGATCAGCCGGGCGGGTAACACAGGAATAAAGATGCTGGCCCATTTCAAGGGGTACAGCAGATTCGCCAAGGCGTGACAGGCAAGGTGCAACATGCCTGTGTGGGAGGATAGGAAGATGATTCGAGATTCGGACATGGCATACTCGAACAAGAGCACAATGTTCTCCAGCGACAAGCATCTGAACAGGGCATAGATGTCGATGTTGCGCGATCCTGGCAATTCATTGGCAGCCTCCTTGCGGGCATAAAGCCGCAATTCGCGTACGCCCAGCTCAACTTGGGTGAGCGAGCTGAGGGGGCTAAATGCCTCGGTGCACAGGTTAACAACATATCGTTCCAGAGGCTGCCACCGCCCGATCTTGGGAGAGCTTGGAGGAACCCTCAAGATGGCACCGTCCGTCATGGGTACGGTGACAGCTCGGAGCCATTCTTTCCAAAATGTCATTTTGGATGGATCCCTGCCAAGGATTCCGTAAGCCCTCGGCACCCAAAGGCCGGTTTCGCCAGCCGTGAGGCCGTCAATCTTGGACGCCGCTCCGTGCCTGAGCGGCCTCAGCATCTCCGTCATCAAGCTGATTTTCTCCTCGACCGAGCTGATCTGCTCATCCAGCGACTCCCTAGCAGCAGATCCCGAAGGAATCGACGGCAGCTCTGACAGCAACTGCGACAAATGAGCACGCTCCGCTGCCAAACGAATGCCCAAACTTGCGGCCAACTCGCGCTCCTCATTGCTCATATGCCTCTGCCGCCATTGTTCGCATCTCTTTTCGACCTTGTCCGCCGTCTCGGCGTCCAGCGCGGTCCAAACGATTATACAGATTCCATAAATCTTGGAGTTGTCATCCGAGGTCATGGTAAAGCCGTGCCATGTCGAGCGGGGGCGATCGTCCGACGAAACGATCTGGATGTCGTTGGGGAAGGCAAACATGGGCACGTAGTCCGGGAATCGGCCTCTCCTGGACAATTCGTCCACGGTGGCATCGCGCGAAGGGTACCTGTCCAGTAAGACCGGCTCGAACCGCCTCTTGAGCGGGTGCATGTCGGGATCTGCGTTCAGGGGTTCCGGGGGTGGAATGACCGAGTTGTAGTTGCTCAGGCGCTTTGTTGTCCGGATGGAGGCTGGGGGCAAGGGTGGGTGAGTATAGGCCCGATACGGGTTGGGGATCACACGGGGGGTTGATTCGGTGGGCTTAGTACCTGCTCTGGGAGTCATGGGCTGCTTCCTTGCACTGCTCATGTCCCTAAAACTAATTTTGCGGCGGATGCTTCCACGGATGCTCTTAAGGGGACTCTTTCGGCCGCTCTGGTCGTCGTCCACTCTCAGTTTCTCGGTTCTAGGGTTCACCATGGGTGGCCTCGACTGGAGCTTAGCGCCAGCGCTGAAGGTGAGATCGTCAAGGAAGTTTTCCCTCTCAGCGGCGAACTTGAGGAGGGCCTTGTCGAAATCGAGGTCAGAGAGAAAGCCGTCTTGGATCGGGATCTGGCCGAGGGCATCGAACATGGGTATCTGGTTAGGATTCGGAGACGCGGCGGGCGAAGTTTTGTTGTTTCCATTGGTGCCATTGACACCATTAGCACCAGCACCGTTAGTGTTGTTGGCATTTGTGGCATTTCCGCTGGAGGTGTTGTTGGAGTTACCGTTGCCGGTACCGTTTCCCAAGTTGGGGAGGGGGAGGGGTCGGATAGTCGCGCTGCTTCTGTTACTTCTGGTGTTACCTTCGATGTCATTATCACTTGACAGCGACGGGTTATAAGAGAGCTTGGAGAGTGCCGACAAGCGATTCCCCGAGTTCTGGCGCGAATGGCGGGGATGGCCGCCGGCGCGTGGAGAGGAAATGCCCGACGCGTCACCTAGCTCATCCTCTCCTTCGGTTTCTCCCTCTCCATCTTCGATAATGGTGTCTTCTAGCGAGGCGCCGAGGCTCTCTTCCTGTCTGTCGTCATCATAGGTGATGTTCTCTATGCCGGCGATCCAGAAGTAGTCGGCGAGGGGCGTAGACGAGTTATCCATGACATATCAATCTCACCGGCGAACCGAGCTGTGATATCCCCCTCTTTAGTGTCTGGTGTGTTCCTCTCCGTCCTCCAGAAATTGGTGAATGTTTTGCCGAGACGCGGTCGTGAAGTGCCCCTCCAGGGTCGATTCGTCGGGTAGTGGGTAGCCGTGGGTGGTTTTTTTTTTTTGTCACGGTCTGTGTGTATCGCGCTTGGTGTTCGCCCGTGGGCTTTCGTCTCTCAGATGGGATCAGACGGGTGCTTGGATGGAAAACGGGTGGTGCGCGCTGGAAGGTAACTCAGATAGGAAAACTGGATCGGTAAATGCAGAACAATCGTGGGCAACAAGAGAGTAAATGACAGTATGGCTGGCTCAACAGAGGCCCCGCTCGGTCTTTTGGGAGTCTCGT